TCCCACTCTAACCTGCAGCAGCCAGCTTGAGAACCAGTGGACGCCACGTGCTGGAAGCAGGGCTCCTGTGTCACAGAACGCGATGTGAACAGGGCCTCGGGTGGCAGGTCTTCAATGCCCCTTCAGATCCCTCCTGCCGTGGGAAATGCTGCCACACCACGTCACGGAAAGCCCATGGGCTCTGGGCTCAGCAGAAGCAAATCCTAATCCTAACTCTGCCCCCAGCACCTAGCAACACCCCGCTGTCACAGATGAGGACGTGTAGCTCCAAGAACTTCCACAACGGCTCAGGGCTGAGAGGAGAGACCCGGGCTGGAGCCCTGGGCTTCTGCCGCTGCTGCGCCCTCCCCCAGGGGACTTGCATTTCGGGAGGGGCCGGCTCCAGTGGCAAGTGGCTAATGGGGGACTGATGTGCAGCTGCAAGGAGTTTGCAGATGGGGACTTCCTTGGCAATCCTCCAAAACATGTTTAAGAACAAATGACAGCATTTTCCAATTCCTGCAGGCCCACCATGTTCTAGATGCTTTGCTCTGTCACTCATGGAGGACCTACTGTGCGCCAGGTTGGTGCCTCACCCACGTGGCACTCCCACCCCTCTTCCTCTTGTCCCTGCTGCTACTGTGCAGACTCTTTCGCTGGGTCCTCCTCTTCCTCTGAACTCTAGAGGCTGGAACGCCCTGGGCCCGGTCCTTGGCTCTCTTTTCTTCTTCTGTGCTCGACCTCACTCACTCCCTAAACAATCTCAACCGAACCAGTACCAGCCAGACTTCCAGAGTCACAGGATGAGCACCGTCCTCTCCTCCATGCTACAGAGCAGTCAGGTGATGCCTTCTCCACTTGGGGGTCTCGCTGTCACATGGCTGAACAGGCCTGTTGAAGCTCTGCCCCCGCTCCCTGCCCCACACTGGCTCCTCCCCCAGTCTTTCCCATCTCAGTAAATGGCCCCCGTTTCTACCCAACTGTTTAGGTCAAAAGTCCAGGAGGTCCCTCCAGCCCCTTCTTTCCTATCCTGTGCCGTATCTCGATTCATGAGCAGGACCTGCTGGCTCCTCCAAAATGTAGGGTGGGGGACAGATGTGGGGTGGAACAAGGTTGGGAGCACTGGTTCTGACACAGGCTGCCCAGAGTCCACTGGGGGCTGGTACAGAGCTCCTCACATGGCAGGGTCTCTGTGTGGAGGAGGAACTCGGGGCAGCTCCTGACTGGCCTCAGTCCCTGGAAAACTTGGGCTGGGTTGGATGGACTCGGGTCAACAGGACCACCTTATTAATTCCTTGTGCACAATTTCTCCCGACAACTCCCTTACCCCACCCCCTTTCTCTTCAGAAGATCATCCATGTCATTTTGATGCCCTGAAATGACATGCGTATCCTGGTTTAGGGCAAGGGGAATCATGTGTGGAGTGGATACTGCTGGGCCCTGCCCAGGTCCCCTGTACTGGGCCAGTTCACCTGTCCCTGAAGTGATGTGCATGCTGCTGCTAAGGGCTCATAGTTGTGCCTTTCTCCAGAGGACTGCCATCAGCCCGCAGAGCCACTTTAATGAGAGATGCTTGGGCCAATACACTCTCTCCCCACCCACCCACATCCTTGGGACAGCTGGTAGCCACTGACTGATTAATATCATGGTGCAAAAGACCAGCTCCCTGGCCTCGGGGGGACTAACTCTGGTGCTACAATCCATGTGCCAGAGCTCCCTGTAGCCTCAGGCTGAAGCTGGACTCCAGCCAGAACCACCTCTTGCTTCCCTCCTCCCCGCCCTGTCTTGCTTCCTTCACACCCTTACAGATTTCTCTTGAGAGCTCCTCACAATTACTTATCTGCCCCCAAATCCCCATATCAGACTCTGCTTCTAGGGCACTCTATATGCTTCTGAGCTCTCTCCACTTCCCAGATCCTATGTACTGGGAGAGAGCCCAGGAGGGTTCTACCCTAAGCAACAGGGAAAGTTTCCCCTCATTCTCTGACACTGTGCTGTTCCTGTGAGCTCAGAGAGCTGCTTAAGCAGCAATATTTATCAAATACTGATCAGGCATCCGTCACCTGCCTAGCAGCTGCTTGGCACTGGGGGACCCAGTGGGATACAAGAGAAACACAGTTCCTACCCTGCCCCTGGAAATCAGGTCAAAAGCCTCCTCTGACACCCCCTCAGTCCCTTTTGGGGCAGCCACGTAATGGCAATCAACTGAATACAACAGAACCTTCAAAACGCTTTTAATTTCTTTTAATGTATAACAGTTACGCCTGAGTTACAGAGGAAGCGCTTACGAGTAGCAGGTAGTTAAAGCAAATACCAGTTTCTCTTTCTAGGCTACTACTCCATATAGCTGAATAAATTATGGTGCGAATATATTGAAACACACACCCTCTGGCCCACTGGCCCACGCGCACACCCACTCACACCCTTGCATGCACACTCACTGCCACATGGAGGAACTTGGCAGCTGTTCCCTTGAGGTCGGCAGCTTCTCTACTGACACAAGCTTTCCAGCTGCTTCCGGAGCTGGTTCTGGAGGGATTTCCCCCATGTTTCTCTGGGTTCAGGTTTCAGAGGGACAAGCATACTCTATGGAGGTGGCTCCCTCTCATTCTGTTCCGGACTTTTCAGCCTCTCCTAAGAGAGATATTCCTGACCTTCCCAGACTTTTCCCTCCAACTCCACCCGCAGAGGTAGATTTGTGCTCCACTACCTTCACCAGCTGGCTTTCTTTTACCCATGATGGGATGTAGATGTTAATTCCAGAGAAACTACAGCCACAAGAATGTGCCATCCTGCCCTCTTTGAGAAAAGCACTGCTTGCTTGTGGATCTAAATCCTTCCAGATAGGATGGGACAAGTCTTATGATGTTATTTTTTCTTACTTAATATGAAAGATCTTTCCTTGACAAATCCATAGAGTGTAGACCTGTTTTCACCTTTTTGTTATGGAAAGTTTCAAACATACCATAAAGGTAGAGACCCCCCTGCCGCCCCCACCACCTTGGATTCAGCAGTGTCCTCATCCCCGGTCCTCCTGTCCCCTTCCCCACCCCTGACCCAATCATGTAACCAGTCAAGATGGAGCTGCATTCCAGAAATACCCAGCCAAACACTTGTGCAAAAAAAAAAAAAAAAAAAATTGTAGAAAAACAATGGAAAACAGAAGCAAAGTGAGAAGAAAAGTGGAAGAGGAGGATGGATGAGGGGAGAAGGAGATAATCGTGAAATTTGCCCCACTAGGCCTGCTGGAAGACCCTGGGCCTGGCCAGCGCTTTTCAGTTCAAGCCCACTTACTTCTTTAAGCTTCTGGCTCCACTGACTGCTGTGCAGATTAGGATGTGCTACCTGTGCCCCGAATTTTATTTAACAATATTGAACCTTCCAAAACAATCAAGCAATCAAAAAATATTGACCCTTCCTCTCCACCCCCACATTAATAAATAGGAGCATCATTTTTTTTTTTTTTTTTTTTTTTTTTTTTTTTTTTTTGTGACCGGTAAGGGGATCGCAACTCTTGGCTTGCTGTCGCCTGCACCGCGCTCACTGCTGAGCCCACCGGCCATCCCTATATAGGATCCGAACCTGCAGCCTTGGCGCTCCCAGAGCTGCTGCACTCCCAGTGCCGCACTCTCCCGAGTGAGCCACCGGGTCGGCCCAGGGGCATCATTCTTAAAACTTAATTTTTAAGAACCATAGAAACACGATCAATTAGAAAATACAACATTACAATACTGAAAAACAATCCCTCGGTGGCGTTTCCACGGAAACGCTGACCCTGCCTCTGGACCACGTTCCAGCATCATCGTCTGGCTCCGTCTTCACACCACCCCTGCGGAATCTCTTATGACATCATTTTACAGACGGACAAACTTAGGCTCGCACCTAGCCAGCCCATGGCGGTGGCTGGACTTGAAGCCAGGTCTGTGGACGCCAGGGCCTTAATACCCAGCAACCCTCCAAGGACATTCTGGCGAGGTTGAGAACCAGGATGGCAAAACCCATGTTGCAGCAGAGGAAACTGAGGCTCAGATCTTTCGGATCCCAAACCAGGTCCTAAGTAGGTAGGTCCACCTGGTGGCTCAGCCCGGTCCTATACACATGGAAGCTGGAGCGCACATTAGGCGGAGGTCCGGAAGGAAGCAGGCGCCTGGACGCAGCTAAGATTCCAGAGCCACGCCCGGTGCAAGTCCTCTGGGCGCTCTGTGCCTTTAAGGCGGGAGCGGGGGCGGGGCTTTCGGGCTGGCCTGTAGGATGACGTCATGCCGGGATGGCGAGCGGGCACTGTCGGAGGGTAAGCTGCTCTTTGGATCTTTAAGGCCGTCCCGAGGTGGGGCCTGGGAGGCGGGCCCTGACGGCTGATTTCACAGCAGGCGCGCTCCTCCCCTTTAAGGCGCGCGGCAGGGGCGGGGCCCCGGTGACTCCTCGAGTCCGCCGGCAGAAAAGCGGCTTAAAGGCGACGCGTGGCGTGATGGCGGCCGCCCCATCCGCTTGCCGGCGGCGCTGGTGGCGGCTCCAGGCGCTGCTGCTGCTGCTGGCGCCGCCGCCTCCGGGGGGCCCACCGGGTATTTCCCCGAGGAGCGCTGGAACCCTGTGTCGCCGCTACAGGCGCCGCGCGTAATCATCGCGCTGGTGGCAAGAAACTCGGCCCACACGCTGCCCACCACGCTGGGCGCGCTCCAGAGGCTGCGGCACCCGCCGGAGCGCACGGCGCTGTGGTGAGCCGGCCGCTGCGCCCATCGGGGCGGTCCACGCACGCCCCCGCCTGCTGCCCCCCATCGGGGCGGTCCACGCGCGCCCCCGCCTGCTGCCCCCCATCGGTGCGGGGCCACGCGCACCCCCGAGGAGCGCTGGAACCCTGTGTCGCCGCTACAGGCGCCGCGCGTAATCATCGCGCTGGTGGCAAGAAACTCGGCCCACACGCTGCCCACCACGCTGGGCGCGCTCGAGAGGCTGCGGCACCCGCCGGAGCGCACGGCGCTGTGGTGAGCCGGCCGCTGCGCCCATCGGGGCGGTCCACGCACGCCCCCGCCTGCTGCCCCCCATCGGGGCGGTCCACGCGCGCCCCCGCCTGCTGCCCCCCATCGGTGCGGGTCCACGCGCACCCCCGCCTGCTGCCCCCTATCGGGGCGGGTCCACCCTGCTTGCTGCAGCTACTTTACATGGGCCAGACCCATGTGGAGGGAGCCCCCCTTCCCCCTATACCCCCCCAATGGGACAGGACCTGTGTTCTGCCTCTGGCTCCCCTGGGGCGACTTAGGCCACTGCCTGCTGGTCCCGCATTAGGGCAGATCCAGGGCTACGCGTGCCTGGGACCAACCTCCTAACTCCCTTCCGGAGCTTATAAAGCTCCACACAAAGGAAGCCCGGATCCCAGCCCCAACTGAAAGTCCTCCTGCTCCTGCTGTTGCCTTGGCCCTTGAACTTGACCAGTTCCGAGGGCCGGGTCAGACCCCTGCCTTCTGCCTGGCCTGGGTGGGGTGTAGGACCAGGTGGCCGAGGGGGAAGTGGTTCCTTCTTGAGCTGTGAAGAAGCCTCAGACTGGTGACTTAAAGACTCTTGCTCGGTTTCCTCAAGTGAAAATGAGTATATTAATATAATTCTCCTTCTGAGTTTGTCTCTGAAGATTAACCAGTTAATGGGTGTGAAGCCCACTGGTGTGAAGCCCTTGTGCCTGGCACAGGGTTATTGCTTACTGACCAGAGCCACGGTTATTATTTCTATTATTATTGTCATTATTACTGTCATCACTGCTGCCAATATTGTTAATTTATTGGGAAGAATTGGCTCTTAGCTCCATGGTTAAACTAGACTCCAAAATGTCCCCCTTCCCTCCACCCCAGATTCCCCAGTATGGATAATCCAAGCACACAGTTTGTATTTAAGCGTTTGTTCAGTGAATGAGTGACCACAGCCCATAGGAGAGAATGAGGGGGGGGGGGTTAAGATATAGAGATTTTTTTAAGTTATACGTACTTGTTACTGAACATGGTTATAAGATCCTAGATGCTCAATAACAAAACCAACAGTTGCTAATGCGTTTTCCCAGAATGAGCTTGTATGATCCCCTCACAGCCCTATGAATGGGTCCTGCCTGTACCCCCATGTTGCAGATGAGGAAACTGAGGCATGGCGAAAGGAAGCGTCTTGCCCAGGGCTACATAGCTGGTTGAAAGCGAGCTGGAATAAAGAGCTGGGGTTGCCTTCCTGCTGCCTGCTTGTGCCTTGGTCTCCCCTATTGCACTGACTGTCCACATCTGCCCGCAGGGTGGCTATGGACCACAATGTGGACAACACATCAGCTGTGCTGCGGGAGTGGCTGGTGGCTGTGAAGTTTTTACCATTCTGTGGAATGGCGGCCAGCGGAGGAGCCCAGGTGAGCGCTAGGCCCCTGCTCACACACCCTCCATGGCTCTCCATTGCCCCAGGACAGACCACAGGCCCTCAGCCCCTGACTGCAGCTTTCCGCTCTGGCTACTGTGACCTGCCCTCAGCTTCACAAATGGGCCCTGATCCTCCTGCCAGCCCTCCACCTTGAACCCCCTCCCTCCTTTGTCCTTCTGTTAGACGGCCACTGCTTTGTTCCCAGTTTCGATCTCTCCCCAGCCCTGGCTCTGCTGTTTGGCTTCTGCACAAGCCTCTGGGCAGCACAGACCCCTGGTTCCTTGGGATTTATTTCTTCACCTACGTGCTGTCCAGGCCAGACTCTGAGCCTGGGAGGACAGGCTCCAGGTCTTTTCCGCTCTGTGTTCCTCTCTGCCAGTGGGCTTTCCCTTCGCTGTCAGGCACGTCCCTGCCTGGTATTGTAGGCCCTGTCGCCCTGGCCAGCTGCTCTGGGCTTTCTTCCTTCCCTCCAGTTTGCTTGGGCTTTCTTCCCTTGGCCTTTGCACGTGCTGTGCCACCTGCCCGGGACATGTTCCGTCCTCCCCAGCCTTCAGATCAGCTCACACATTCCCTCCTCCAGGAAACTCTCCCTGACCACCCCCAAGGCAGCTCAGGCCCTCTCTGGGCTATGACAGTGCCCTGTGCTCCCCACATCACAGCTGCCTATTCTCAGGTCCTACCCGGATGACGAGGGCCCCAAACACTGGTCCGACTCGCGCTATGATCATGTCATGAAGTTGAGCCAGGCAGCCCTGAAATCAGCTCAGGACATGTGGGCCGATTACATCCTGGTGAGTTTCTCAGCCAGCTGGCCACGGGCCTCGGACCATGGAGGCGTCTGGGGTGTCCCGAGGAAAGGCGGAGCGGCAGGATTCGGGGACCGTCCTTAACCTCATTTTGCAGGAGGGTAAACTGAGGCTCAGGGAGGGGAAGTGAGTTGCCCAAG